CCAGGACGTCGGCACGACGTATACTCGAGGACATCGGCACAATGACAAAAATGACAAGCCCCGGGCCGAGGACATCGGCACAATGACAAAAATGACAAGCCCCGGGCTGGCCCGAAAATACAAAATATACAATTAATTAATTAATTGGCTGGGTACAGGCCGCAGGAATGACAAAAATGACAACATCAGCCACATCCTCGACGCAGCAGGCTGCGTCACCCCCGCCGTCTTCGCCGCTCTGGCTCGCGCTTTAGCAGAAGAAGAAGCCGCAGAAGAAGCTCACGAATTACGCGAGCCGCCGGCGATGAGCCGGAAGCCGGAGCGCACGCAAAGCTACTGGCTGAACGGCATTGAGACCCTGTCGGCTCCCTTGGACGATCACGGACGAACGGAGCTCTCCGAGGACGGACGGCTCACTACCAAACCTCCAAGACGACTCCTCAAACTCGATAGAAATCCGAAGTATTTAGACTAGCCCTAACCCCCCCGGTACCTACTATCTAGGGTACTAGAGTCTAGAGCCCCTAGGGCACTATATAGTAGGTACCTGGGGGGTTAGGCTAAGTTGGCCCAAACCATCAAGAGCACCAGGAGCTTCAGAAGACGTGGTTCGACTTCATCGAGAAGGGCCTTGCTGGTGGGAAGGTGCTGGAAGGTAGAGGGTATTCAGGGCTAGGTCGTTTTATCTGGTTTCTAAATCACTAAATCCTGAACCCTAAATCCTAAATCGCTAAACCCTAGACTAGACCCTAAACCCTACAGCGCTAAACCCTGACATCGCTAAACCCTTTCACTGATGGTTTTGGCATCGGGGCAGTCTTAAAGGGCTTCGGGGTCTTAGGCTGAGAAAGCCCTTGGGTTCAGGGATTTGAGCTTTAGGGGTGCGGCTTTAGGCCCTGGGGTTTAGGGGAAGCCTCGACTGCTGGTTCATACCTGGGTGTTCTTTTGGAGCATGAGTATAAAATCACCGGGCGCCGGACGTCGAGCACCAGTTTCGAGTGCAGCTGACAGTACAGCATTCGGGCATGCTGCTGTTGATAATGGTATGGCGGATTCTACTGTTCACAGCTCCATTTGCCTTGATCTTGCGAGCTTCTTCAATTCCTCGCAGTAGACATGATAAGTACCCCATAGTACCCCTGTGTATATGGCATATGGTAGAGCAGAAGAAGTTGTACAGCAAAGCCACCAGCAATAGTCAATAGCCTCGAGCCTAGACCCTAAAACGCCCATCGAACTCTCAATCCTCATCTCTCAAAGACAGGTGCTCGTCCACTGCCGCTTGGGTGTGAACCGCAGCGTTACAGTGGTGGCGGCCTTTCTTGTGCGATGCCGTGGCTTCACCCCGGAGGCTCACTGACATCCCCGAGCCGACTGGTGTAGAAAGCTATTGACATGCTGTCCAACGTGCTGCTGCAACAACACCCAAAGCCAGCACCATGATGTCTTGTTCCATCGTATACTGAGACCCCGCGGAGAGAGCGTAAGACTTTCCATCCGAAACCCCATGTTCCCCCAAGCACCCTGACCTCTCGGAGCCCGAGGCCGTAAGACTAAAACCCAAAAGCCCTGAACGCTTACAGGCCCAGGGCCCCAAGAGCCCTTGAAAGCCGTGAGGTTGAAAGCCCCCAAACTCTGAAATTCTTGAGTATATTATAGTACATTATAGTATAGTCCTGAGCCCTACAGCCTAAAACCCTAAATGAAGCCATCCACCCTAGATAGCCCACTCAAAACCCTCAACGAAGCCATGTAGGCCCAAAAGTAGCTCCCTCCGACCTCAGAATCATAAATCAGGCTATAAAGCCTTCTACAGCCCTTTTCTCAAGGCGGTTTTGGACTTAGCCTAAACCCCTAAACCCTAAACCTTAAATCCTAAATTGCTAAACCCTAAACCCTGAGCCCTCTCAAAGGAGGCCCTGGGGCTGCTGGTGGAACGGCGGCCCTGCGCAGATCCCGTCTCTGCGTACCGGGAGCAGCTCCGGAGCCTGGGAACGAGGCGGGACTTTGGGAATTTTTTTATTGTACATTTTATATAGTATAGTAGAGTATATTTATAGTTATAGTATAGTATACTATAGTATATTATAGTATATCATACATAGTATGCTATGGTATATTCTAGTATAGAATATTATGTTATAGTACATTGTAGTATATAGTATGAAGCCGTATAGTGCATCATCATCCTGGTGCTCTGCCACGAGAGGTTCTTGCACCCTGGTGCTCCTACAGCAGTTTGACGATGGTGTACGGCCTAGTTTAGGGTTTAGGGTTGAGGGTTCGGAGTTTAGGGTTTGGGGTTTGGGGTTTAGGGGTGTCTGCCGGAAAGCAGGTAGCGATGGTTCAGTTGGAGGCCCAACGGAGGTCTTGTGAAGCCTGACGACCTTGTTTGCGATTCTGGGGCGGCTTTCAGGATGGTATGGGGCAGCAGCCCAGTCCTCCGCGAAGGCCACAGAAGACTATTGACTTTGACGGGTTTAGGGTTGAGGTTTATCAGGAGTCAGGGTCTCTTTCCTTTCAGGGAGGTGCTGCGGATAAACTCCAAGGGCGTGGGGGTGACCGGCTGATACTCCGATTGGATGTCGGGGAGCTGAATGCAGAGACTCTCGGTAGCTTTCCTGTGTCACGCGGAGGCCGGTTCTGATTGTCGAGGAGGCACAGATGGGCATCACACCTGCAGCCGGCTTTGCGACACCTGCCGAAACCATTGGGGATCATTGGTGCCTTGGGCACTCCTTGGCATTACGATGCCACTGTTGAGGCGGTTCACGTCAGCAGGGGTACGTCATGGTCATCCCCACCTACCAACACTTGAAGACCGCGAACGAGGTGCCTTCGGCTTGCACGGTTCTGGTGGCCATCTTGTCGGGCACTTTTGCAGTTGTCTTCGCGCTGTTGGGCAAACATCTTGCTGGTGCGCTGGCGTGGCTTTCCCTGCTCTGGGCACTTCCATCATCCTCGGAGTCTGAAGACCAACAGCTTGGCGGTGTTGACCAGCACACTCACAGGGAGAGCTACCGCAGCCTTAATCAAGAAGTATCCCGCAGGTGGCCGCATGACTGAGTCGGAAGCATCGGAGGAGTCCGGTGCTGTCTGCTGGGCATGGAGAACATCTGCAACTTGCACAAAGCGGTGCTGCGATGTCAGCCCTGTCAGTGCTCATTGACAATCATGTGACAGATATGACAAATGCTGCTGCTTTCGTCCGTTTTGCTTGGAGACGGTTCGGAAGGCACCAGCAAGGGCCAGCTCATCAGCGAACGCAGAGAAGACGCGATGTTGAAAGCAGGCTCTCCCTTCAGCAGGCGGGCTCGGGGGCCGGTTCCCCAAGGACGAGGCCTACCGCCTGGTCGGCATTGAGCTTCTGCCTGCTTTTGCAGGTGTTGCTCCGGCGTCATCGTGTATTTTGTCGCAGGCGAACCTAAACCCTCACACCTTGGCTTGAGGGGGGGTGGCGGATTTGTCTTCTAGTCGCGCCGCCGAGCAACTCGATGTGGTAGTTAGAATTGCTTCCTCACCAGGGTTCCATCAGATTCAGATGAAGGCTGCAGTGCATGGATGAAGAATGTGATGCAGGCGAGGCAGCCAGCAAGGCTTGCGTTGACAATTGTCCGAACTCGTAGTGGCAGCACCCGGATGCTAGGAAGTATGTGCATTCGTGCAACACCAAGTAGTATGCACCTGTATGTATAGATCCCACCCTGAGCTGATTGGTCCTGAGTCCTGAGCCGAAGATAGCTAAATAGTTTGGGGGTCTTGAAGAGGTCAGGGTAACCACTAAGGCCCTAAACTAAACCATAACCCCTAGAACCTAAAGCCTGCAAAGCAAGCGTCTGCATCGTCTGCGCTGTGAGACCTGCAGCTTTTTCCCTCGAACAGCACCGCAGACATGGCAGCTGGCAGCTTCCCAAACAGTGCCGCATTGAGTCCGTTTGGCCTGGCGGTTTCAAGACAACACGGCATGAAAAATTGAGGCTGAATCGGTCAAGCCGGACAAGTCTGAAAAGGCTGTAATTCGTCAACCCCCGCGCCCCTCTCCGAATTAAGACATGTCCTGGTGACGTCTTATCTTCTGTCGCCATGGTGTTCATGTTCCCCATCCTGCTCGCCTCCCTTCGTGCCATCGGCGTGGCTGTGACAGTCATCGTCGCAGGTATCCTGGCGACCCGTTTCAAGGTCTTGACACCGCCGGAGCATAGCTGCATGTCGAAACTGTCCATGAAAGTGGCCATGCCTGCTCTGGTGTTTTCACGCATCCTCTATTGCAACCAGTGTGCGGACCGGGCCGACTGTCCTCGTTGTGCTCCGTTCTCCGAGATCATAAGATCAAGCTGGATTCTGTTTCTGCTGCCTTTGGTGGTAGTTGGGCTTGGAACATCTCTCGGCAGAGCCGTGGCGGCTCAGTGGCAAGTAGGAGTGGTAGTGGTGGTCGTGGTTTGAGGAGGAGGAGGACGAGGAGGAGTAGTAGTCGTAGCAGCCGTAGCCCTCGCTGTCGTCGTCGTCGTCGTCTTCATCCTCATGGTAGTGGTAGTTGAACATCGAGCATCAAGGCAGAACAGCGTGCAGTTACCCGGGCTCGTCTTCCTGGAAATCGCAATCGTGTTGAGCTTGCTGAATAACTACAGCCACAGTCAAAGGGACACTGTGTGGTCCAGATTCCAGATTCCAGATCGTGTTGGGACGTGTTGGCGTGGGGATGCTGTTGGAGGATCTTCCACATTAGGGTTTGAGCTGGCAGACTTGCCACCCGGCATGATTCTGAGTTCCTGGTAAGTCGGAAGTCAGCGGTGTTCTTGTTTTCGTGCTTGCACACTTGCGCGTGACTTGCACGTGGTGTGTATCGATATAATCCAGGCCGCAGTTGCCGAAGTGCCCTCGGACTTTCGACGAGGGACCATCTGCGCAGTCGCTTTCGGAAACTCCACGGGCATGCCAGTGGTGCTACTGACAGTGGTGAGTCAATCCATGACGGCTTTTGGGAATGGCCCCATTGGGCATACCGATCCCCTGCTTCATCTTCCCGCATATCTGATGCTGTACCCAGTCCTTCAGTGGGGTATCGGTACATGGCTGCTGGCCCCTACGGCCGACGAGGAGATCACACTGACCATCCCACCCCCTTGCAAGGGGACGTTGCCTAGACTCTGTGGAGCCGAAGAGGGCTTCTACTACATGGGCCCTGCAAGGCAAGCCCTGGAACATGCCTTGGTGCCGCCAGTGCTTGCAGCTTTGGCCGGGCTGTTGGTCGC